TATATATATATATATATATATATATATATATATTTCATTATACAAATTATGTATTTATAATAAATATGTTAATTATGTATATATTTTTTTAAATCACACTGGTACACTCGAGTCTCCCGAGAAGAGCATGAGCAATGTAAACCGAGAGGCAGGTAGAATCACAAGAAAAAAGCGCCCGTTGCATTTGTATCTTTTATTAGTATATATTTACACACAAGATATACCGAGTCGAAACCGAGTCATCTTGGTATTGCATTAATAATGAAAGACAAACGCAGTAAGATAAAAACAAACGCGAACAAATGATACAAAAAGATGATGATGCTTCAGTGTTTATGTATGTGTATATATGTGTATATGTGTGTATGTGTGTATATATATTGTATGTGTGTATGGTATGTGTGTATCGCATCTCATTACATATACATATATATACTAATGTCATTATTAATAATCATTTTATTATTTAGCAATTCTCTCTCGTTTATACTATAGTTAAGTTGGGCAGAAATTGACGAACTCGCACTTACACGTTTATCAACAAGACATCCGCAGTTGAAAACGCTGAATTACAAATCGCTCTATGAACTCTCTCTCTCTCTCTCTCTCTCTCGGCTCCCTCTCCCCCGCCCTGTCACTCCGCTTTTCCCCCTCGCATGCTTGCAGATGGTATCGTCGTTTCGCGCGGATCCGAGGGGTGATCTCTGCATCTACTGCAGAGCGCTACTCGAACGACCCCCTCGGTCGTTCGCGGCGTTCCTCAAGTGGGGGGTCAGTCACTTCTTTTTTTTTTCTTTTTCAACGAGCTTACTAACGAGCCTTCTCGGAATCGCACACTCTCGCGTCGCGCGATCGCTCGCATCTATTATCTAATGAAAACTTACTAACGCGCGCGTATAAAACGCACAAACGCGTGTAAACGCTATATGATTGTCCTACCGGGATGATCTACGAGGATCGGCCGTCGCAGAGGCGACTCTCCGCGATAACGAACGAAGACCCCTCTCTTCGGGGGACTTTCCTTTTCTTTTTCGCCGTTGGACGCGTTATTATTTATCCGTCGCAGGAAAGGGAAAAGGGTAGTCGCGAACGGTATACCGGGCCGCCGTTCTGTACGCGCGCACGGTTGTCGCGCTAATTTAATAATTCGAATAGCGTCTAATCGCGCCGTCGACTCGTTAATTAGTTACACACACTGACCTAACGGATGTACACGCCGGAGCATTCCGCTTAATGCCAGTTAAGGGAATTCCAGATCTCTCCCTCTCTGTACATGTGTATAGGCATCTCTCTCTCTCTCTCTCTCTCTCTCTCTCTCTCTCTCTCTCTCTAGGTTTGTATTCTATTCCTGCATTGGCTGCACTAACTAATTCAAGAAGTGTGCATTCCGACATTCACTGCCAATACTGCAAATCTATAATAGGGAAAACCGGGGCTAGTTTGGCTAATCGATTACTTCTAACAGATTACAGAATTAAGCAGACATTTCAAGCATGTCAAAGATTGTTATGAAATTCCTATTTGCTCGATTCTGTAACCTGTTAGAGAACAACAGATAAATAATCAATTAGATCAGAATCAAAAATAATCAACCAACAACTAGCCTTGATCTCCCCTGTACGCAACATGAATTGTAAATTTGCAGTGCTAATAATGAAAGTCGGAGCGCACACTTCTTGAATTAGTGCAGCCAGCGCGGGAATAAAAAAACAAACCTTCGGTCTCTCTCTCTCCCTCTTTCCTGCTCTTCCATCACGGTCGAGCGAGCGTGCGTAATTTCACAGCACGTTCGTTGCAAATCCTGGACTAGAAAAAGTCTCCTCTCGTTCGCTCTCGGCTCGCATGGAATAATCAAGAAAACCGAAAACCTCTTGCAACGCGCAATACCGGCGACGATCACTCTTACGTGATGACTTGACCAGACACGGAATTAGAAAAGGTAGAGAGAGAGAGAGAGAGAGAGAGAGAGAGAGAGAGAGAGAGAGAGAGTGACTTTCAGTTGAAGAACACGGAAACTTCGGTACTGACATGGTTATGAACTTTGTCGCCTCAAAGCTCCCATTGGACTTCTTCCTTGACCACCGACCGATCTATCGTTTCCTCATGGAATACGAAGGACTGATCGAGCTGATCCTGGACTCATCAACTGACATTAAGGAAAGCGGTTGGTTCTTTCTCGTTACACGAACGATGTCTCTCCTCTCGTGTTTCCTCAGGCGTTGACACGCACGTCGCTCATGCGGTGCCGGGTGGTCGGTTTTTGCATGCGTGTGTATGCATGTGTGTGTGTGTGTGTGTGTGTGTGTGTGTGTGTGTGTGTGTGTGTGTGTGTGTGTGTGTGTGTGTGTGTGTGTGTGTGTGTGTGTGTGTGTGTGTGTGTGTGTGTGTGTGTGTGTGTGTGTGTGTGTGTGTGTGTGTGTGTGTGTGTGTGTGTGTGTGTGTGTGTGTGTGTGTGTGTGTGTGTGTGTGTGTGTGTGTGTGTGTGTGTGTGTGTGTGTGTGTGTGTGTGTGTGTGTGTGTGTGTGTGTGTGTGTGTGTGTGTGTGTGTGTGTGTGTGTGTGTGTGTGTGTGTGTGTGTGTGTGTGTGTGTGTGTGTGTGTGTGTGTGTGTGTGTGTGTGTGTGTGTGTGTGTGTGTGTGTGTGTGTGTGTGTGTGTGTGTGTGTGTGTGTGTGTGTGTGTGTGTGTGTGTGTGTGTGTGTGTGTGTGTGTGTGTGTGTGTGTGTGTGTGTGTGTGTGTGTGTGTGTGTGTGTGTGTGTGTGTGTGTGTGTGTGTGTGTGTGTGTGTGTGTGTGTGTGTGTGTGTGTGTGTGTGTGTGTGTGTGTGTGTGTGTGTGTGTGTGTGTGTGTGTGTGTGTGTGTGTGTGCGCGCGCGTAATGCACGTGAGTCCCGATGTGTGTATGGTGGTATGCATTTACGCAGATTACACAACGTCTCTCTTCTATACACATATATAATTTGATCCCGCTGTATACAATAGTGAACACAACTAAAAACTTGAGACTGTACAATTGAACGGCGTATTTCGGGCGCGGCTCCGTAAAGGAACCGGCCGCGCGCGCGCGTTTGCTCTCTGAACGCTCGTCTAATTATCCTCTACGCATCCTAGACTCAACTCGTTTTCTTTTGCTTTTCTGCGTGCTCTCGCTTAATATGTTACGGTATATATTTATATGTAATAGATATATGCGCATATCGTATGTCATACACATACATGCATGCATACAGATTCTCACACACAAACACACACACACGCTCTTTCCACCATTCACACTCACTATTCCCTCAAGAGAGACTCGTCTTTATCGTAAGTAAGTAGGCAAGCATACACATTCTCACGCACACACGCACACAATCGTCAATTTTAACTTTATACACAATTTGATATATCTTGTTCGCTGGAAATCGTCGTCTTAGACACTACGCTCGTCAAACTTGTCGCCTGAAGTAATCGAACGAAGTGCTTACCCGAGATTTCGTGATGATGTTAATAGCCGCTGCGCACTCGCGATCACTCGGATAACAGCAGCGGCCGAACTACAGGTCCGCGAAAAAAGTTGCGTGAGAATCGTGTGGATACGTACGTATGTTTTATGTAATAATAATGATAATAATATGCGCTACTTCGTCAGTCGTTCTGGGCTGATTCGCCATTATGAATTGTATATTTTATATACGTGTATTCTTAACAATTAGTACACCTTCGCCTCGCGTTTATTGGCCATTCATCATTCATGTCGCGCGATAACCACTACGATTGGTACGATAATTAGTTTGTCCTAAAAGGTTCTCGGGCTAAATGGGCTGTCGATTCAGCGAGTCCATTATCGTATTACTCGTTTCTCGTGAGACGTGTTGGAAAGGAAATCCTATATACCGCGAATCAAGCGATATACACTTTTGCCGTTTTAATACGGGGGAACCGAACGAGTTCGCTAGGCAAAGAAAGAAAAAAAAAAAAGGAGGAACAAGAAGGAGAAGAAATCGATGTAAAATCAACGGTTTTGAGCAGAATGTACGCGACGATTTTCAATACGCTTACCGCTCGAATGCGCACTTAGTGTACGTGAGATATATAAAGCGCGTGCTAATACATCTCTTGCAAAAGGTACGTAATTGTGAATGTATTAGTATATATGAGACATACGCCGAGACGCATTTTTGCGAGTGCGCATGTGAAGATCGTCGTTCGCGGGACACGTAGATATATCTTGCTCAACTTGCCGCCTGGAAAGACCAGAAATGAAGAAAACGACACGGGTTCGAAAACATGCTATTAGGAACGAGATATCGCGACGTTCTCATTAGAAATATAAAATATAACGTGATTCGTCTCAGTCTTTATATGTGATGCCGAGTATCGATATTCACGTATCCGCGGCAATCCGATCGTTCGGTTTTCGGCCGTAAAAAAAAAAAGGAGGAAAAGTGAAAACCGGTACGCGACGAACGAATCAGCGAGACCCCGTGTATATACGGTGTGTATATATATATAGTGTTGCGTACGATTTCCTCGTAAAGATGAGACTTTCGTGAAGAAGCATGCGAAAAAACGGAAGATATCGGTTCCGAGGTGGAAGCTCGAAAAGCAGCGAACAGGAGCGGGACTCATCTCACGTTTCTAACGTTATGTACAAATGATATATAATTTGCGAGCTCTCGCGAGGCCGTCCCCCCCCCTTTCTCTCTCTCTCTCTCTCTATCTCTCTCTCTCTACGTTCGTTCCCTCGCGAAACTTTAGAATGGGTACGGGCACATCGAACAATTACCACGTCTAAAAGTAGTAGCCTAAAACGCTTAATGCTATACACGTTATTTCTGCTTCTTCTTTTTTTTTTCACCTTTTCCTTTTCTGCTTTTTTTTCTATTTCGTTTCTTTAGTCAAATCCTCTGCATATATCGCGAAGTGCTCGACGAAGAGTGTTGTCCGAAAGGGCGCATCGAAAATCGCTAATTAATCCCGGGTACAGCTATGAGTAAATTCGCGTGCATGCGCGCGAGTACAAAAGCGAAGCTGCTGCTGCTGCTGCGGCGGCGGAGAGTCTCGGAGAAGGGCGGTGGTTAATCACTGTTAATTGTTGTTATTCCGACGCGATGAGACGTGCGCGTTACGCGTCGCGGCGGACGATCGAGTGACACAATGGAGGTACGTAAACGACGGTAATGATATATATAACGGCGTGTAGGAAATCATTCTTGCAAAATCATCGCATGGGGAGGAGGGCGTTTTCTTTTCTTCTCTCTTATATATTCGTATGTAGCAAGCAAATATATATATATATAAATGTGTGTTGTGTGTGTGTGTGTGTGTGTGTGTGTGTTGTATATATATAGCATGCCGCTCCCGGATATCTCGAAGACGCGTAATCAAAATCTGTACACGTTACCTACCATGTAGTAATAATAACGTTAACTCTCTCTCTCTCTTTCTCTGCTCTCTGCTATCTCTCTCTCTCTCTCTCTCTCTCTCTGTAATATTATTGACGAATAACCCTCATTATATTCGGCTACGTATTTCCTCGCGATAGTAATAGTAGCGATATAGCGTTACACATATAAGAAAATAATGATTAATAGTAAATTGAAATCATTAGCGATCGTTATCTTCTTAATATCAGAGATCTAAGTAAGACAGTGGTAGTTTAATATCACAATAAGACTACTCAGGCCTCGTTAAAACTGGGGCACGCTTCGTATTAATGTTACTCCACTCGCCTTGACGCTTCGTTATTAAACCGCGACCCCGCGCTTGGTCGCGTGATGCTGCTGGCGGTGGTCTCTCTCTCTCTCTCTCTCTCTTTCGCACGATAACTCAGGTCTTCTCGGCGCGACCGTAATTTGACGGTAACCCCCGAATCACATACGCGTACACATATACACACGCAGCCACACTCACACACACGTCGGGGAAGAATCGTTGTTTGACCGTTGACGGCGCGTCGGACTCGCGTTCGCGTACTTCCTCTCTGCGCGACTCGCGCCGTTCATCGGCGCGCGTCGTTGGAATCGCGCGGTGGACGCGCGGGCGGCCCTCAAAGAGCGCGCTCTGTCGCGCGCTCATCATAATGGTATACCTTCTGAATGCGTACACTCGCGCGCGGGAGAATTTCACAACCGTCGTCTCGCTTCGACCGCCTGAGGAACGAGCAGTCGCTCTCGTCGCGCGGCGGCTCGTCGACGGTCCCTCGACGCGAGCTTGCCTTGTCGTACGGAACTTTCGATTGTGATTTTCGACACATCCTACGACCGAGATTCCGTCAGCGTGAACGTCGCACGCTTCGCGCGTGATTTCGGGATAAACACAGACCCGGGACCAGATCAATGATACGATGATGGCCCGTGACGGATGATCGATATATATATTTGATGATTTACTAATGACCCTCGCCGTATGGAGGCGGCGTATCTAAACATTGTCTGCGAGTAACTACGATAATGCGCGTTTTTTTACGATTACCTGAGTGACATCGGATCGCCAGAGTCCCCGAGAGCGCACGAATTCGACCTCGCCGCAATCGCCCCTGTTTTCTTCTTCATTCATCCGGCACGCCCGCCACGCTCCTCTACCGTCGTCAGATCGTTTTGGCCTCATAGCTAGATGCATATGCCCGAGACTAGCGACTCTCTCTCTCTCTCTCTCTCTCTCTCTCTCGATCTGTGTGTCTGTCTAGTCGTTTGGCATCGGGAATAGTTAACGTCGTCGGGCCGGCCAGCCAGTTCTACACGCGCCGGTCTGTGCGATTGCACTCGCCCTCGACTCGCGCATGGAACACGGGGTGTCACGTGCTCGCGGTTTCGCGCGAGATCGTCGATCAGTGTGAGCTCGATCCGACTCGGATCTCCGTCTCACACACCGGAGAAGCATCTCTCTTTTTCTCTTTCTCTCTCTCTCTCTCTCTCTCTCTGTACACCTATCTATCTCTTGAGCGATAACGCGTTGCAACGACATCGACGCGTACGTCGCCGTCCCCATCGCTCACGACGATCGCGATCCTCGCGATTGGATCTGGAGGAAGAACGTGAGAACGAGTCGAGGAACGGAGGAACGACAAGGCGCAAGAGCGAGCCCGATCGCGCCAAGAGGGTGCGCGCGCGTGAGATGGGGAGAGTGCGTTTAGAAGTGGCTGGCACAGACCCGACTTCACAATATCGGCGGCAGGAACGTGCCTGAGTCGTCGAGATTCGGGTCGAGGCTCGCGACGATGTCGCCGGTCGACGCGTGCCTCGACGTCGCCGTCTGCGTGCTGCTCGCTAACGCGTGGCTGCTGGCGCTGCCGTTCAGCTTGCTCTTCACCACGAGGCCACCGCCACCGCCGCCGCCGTTGTCGGTGCTGTCGCCCGACGTCGTGGAGATCTTCTGGACATACTTGCGACCCTTGTACAGCCGGTACATGGTGTAAGGCGGATCCTCCATCGTCGTGGCTCGCTGCCGCGGCGCGCTCACCGTCACGCTCACCGTCTGCGCGTGCGCCGACTGTGACGTCTCGACGCCGCTTGTCGTCGTCGTGTTCGCGCTCGCGTTCACCGTCGACGAGGCTATCGCTGACGAGGAGGAGCTCACGTGGGAGGATGACGAGTTCAGCCACTCGTGACGCATCGCCTCGTCGGGGGTCATACGCTTCTTTGGATCCCACCTGCGACGGTGACGAAAGAAAATCGTTTAGACGGGAGCAGGAGGTTCGTGGAAATTCGCTGGCTCGTGTAATGAGCGCCACTTCGGGCTTTCCTGCGCGATTGATTCTTTAGAGAGACGGACCCATTACCCGTTACGATCCGACCAAATTCGCGAGTAGGGGCGATGAACTCGTGACGAGGGAGTTTACGATTAATTTCGAGAAGCGGGGATACTAGTTTTGCATTTTTTTTTCACTGTGGATATTTCCACTGACAACTTCCGAAAGTTCCGTTTTGCACGCAATCTTACAGCTCTGAAGTTATATTTATCATTCTGTGTAATTTGATTTCGACTTATTTACTGGTTTACATACAGTGTCTGGCGCAAACCGTACCAACCATCGTATATATTTGTGGTTTAAGTCAATATGAACAAAACGTCCTCTAGCATTTTGTAAACAACTACGCAAAATTTTGAATTATTAATTATTGCGAGTGGCCATGTATAAAGGCTTTTTTAATTAATAATTCAAAGATCCGCGTAGTTATTTGCAAAATGGTAGACTTTTGTGTTCAGAGTGACCTAAATTACAAATATATGATAGCTGTTGTACTAAAGACGCGAAGGTTCGAGGTTCGATATATTGATATATGTCGCTAAGTAAAACAGTTGTCATATACTTGCATATAGATTGGGCCATTCTGAATAAAAATATTTATGGCATCAATGGCTCTTACCATTTTGCGAATAACAACGCAAATTTATAAGTTATTAATTAAAGAAGCCTCTATTCGTGGCCATTTTCAATAATTAATAACTCAACATTTTACGTGATTGTTTGTAAAATGGTAGAGGACCTTTTCGTTCATTTTCTGTTATGCACACATGCTCTCTATTTTCATAATTATAATTATATTTATGGGTATCATTTATAATCTCTCTATAACTCATGTAACACTGGAAGGGTTTTCTCCCGTAAACAAAGATTGTTACTATTAAGTCAGTCCCCATTTTTAATCGCGATTTTCCGCCAAAACTACCAAAACCCAAAGAAATCGTGAATAGAGCACGTAATTAGTACATAAAAGGCCACTTAATTCCTACATAAGTGCTGTTCCAATTTTCTTTTTCCGACGAGGACGCTAGCTTAACAAAACGTGCTCGGAAATGAGAATGTTACGCGCTTCTGAAAGGCATCGGGATGTTGAAATTGATCGCACCGGTGTACGGGAATTTCACGCGGAACGCGGAAAATAGCACGCGAGGCAAAAATAACTCACTCGAGGCATCTGCTAACGAAGTTCACGAAGAGCACATCGGAACACCGGAGGGCTATCGAGAGATTCCTGCTGCCCGCCCACCTCTTCTTGCCTTTGCTGTTTGTCACGCATCGCGGACTGCCTTTTTGATCTGCAACGATTTCCAAGACGATGAGTCGGAGTCGCACACTGCGCGCGCGCTTGGCCTGCTCTTTCTATCTTTAGGAGCCACTTCAGACCCCGGAGTTTCCAGTACTCTCGCTGCTACTGACACACCGTAGCTCTGGCTTACCGAAAAAGAGCCTGCGACGAGACGCGTGACTGATAATGTGCTCAGGCGGCAGACCAAGGACCTCCATGATGCAGGCGAGCTGTTCTATCTCGTCCTCGCCCGGAAACAGCGGGTATCCCGTGTACAGCTCGGCTAAGATGCAGCCTAGGCTCCACATATCGATCGGCGTGCCGTATGGAAGACCGAGGATCACTTCCGGACTCCTGTAGAACCTGGATTGTATATACGTGTACACGCGTTGGTGACTGTAACACGACGAGCCGAAGTCTATGACTTTGATCGAGCTGCTGCCCCGTTGCTTCAGCAGCACATTCTCCTGCAATAGTTACGGACACAGACGTGTGTGTGAGAGAGAGAGAGAGAGAGAGAGAGAGAGAGAAAGGGGGAAAGTGAAGTTGACGTTGAAGAAATTGACGCGAATAAACGAGCAGTGTTGGAATACATATCTGAATAATTATGTCTAGATAGAAAATAGGTCATCTAGTATGTATATCTGAGTGTTTACATTGGTACAATTCGTCTAATATCTGATCTAAGGAAATAACCGGCCGTTTATCTGATATTTGTATCGAAGCAATTCGAACTTCATAATTCCTATATTCTCGAAATGATTGCGTATATATACGTATATATACGTATCTTTGTGCAGGTATGATCGTGTCATAAAATAGCTGTGCAGTAACACTTATATATACGCAACCATTTCAAGAATAGAAGCATATCTACTATCTAATAAGATATCTATTATGAAGAATTGAAAATCCACGTCATAATGTTTGGAATACCCTCGCAGTCACGTATGCCAAATGTATTATGGATATATCTTCTTTTCGTCCACAAATAGCTTGAATATGATGGCAACGTTGCTTCATATCCGGTTAAACGGTAAAGAAAGGAAGAAAAAGATAAAAATTAAGGAATTTCTCGTTATATAGATAACGTTAATATATATATATCTAGTTAGCGCCAAATATATCTCGACATATCTGAAGCTTATCCTATATTTGAGATATAAAAAATGTGTAGCTAGGTAAGAATCTCTTTTCCGTATTTATATCTATATCGAAGGAAAATAAGGAATATTTTCTTATCTATGTATTTATCTAGATAGGTAGTCGTAATAGTATCTAATCTTACTTAGATATGTGAAAAGTCATATCTTTCCCAGCACTGGACGCGAAAATGCGATGTACTCACCGGCTTCAAGTCGCAGTGAATGATATTCTCTCGATAGAGCAGTCTCAGGCAGCTAATTAACGAGTTGGCGAAACGGCGGATTAGGCTCAGACTGAATCCCTGGTAGTTGTTCTTTTTGATTAGCTCGTACAGATTCAAGCTGCAACAGAGAGAAAGAGAGAGGGACGCGCTTAGACGGCGATTTCTTTTTCTTTTCTTCTCATTATACGGCTAACGAACTCTCGCACGCGCGCGCAACGGCGAGGACGCGAGGCTGACTCCTCCTCATTATATCTCGGCCGATCGCTCACCTCATTAACTCGAAGCTGATGCACAGGTGATTCCTGAAGTAAAAATACTCGAGCATGTGTATCACATTGTGCGACGAGTTCGCCTCCAAGTCCTTCTTCCTCAGGTGCTCCAGGATTCTCACCTCGATGAGCGCTTGATGATGGAACCTCTTCTTGTTTCTGCAAGGACAGTGAAAGTCAGTCGTGCTGTTTTAAATTAAGAAGAAAACGCGGCATGCGAGGATCCGGATGGGAAAAAAAAACAACAACACACTAATGCCGGATGTGCCACATCGTCCGTGCATCATCGCGAGTTTTTTCTCTTTCCCAGATCATAGCGCTCGAGCGGTAGTGAGTCACCGCGCGATGACGAGCACACACCGTTTCCGCGTACCTGATAATCTTGATGGCGATGTGCTGTCCCGTTTTATGATCCAGCGCTCGAATCACCTGGCCGAAACTCCCCTTGCCGATCACCTCCAGTATCTCGTATCTGCGCGCAGAAAAGGTTTCGAGCGCGTTCACAGACGAGTTTATGTCGCGAGCGGGGAGAATATCGTGTAAAGACCTCAGCTGACTCGCCGATTTAAGACAATGTATTTTATGTCTTAAGTCTTTGTCTTTGAGCAACGCACAATAATCGCTTGGTGTCTTGAGTCTTAGAGACTTTCCACATAAGCAATAAGATTTAAGTAATAAGAAAATTGACTACAATCACGGTCGATCATCCTTTTAATAAATGATTGGTCAATTTTCTTACTGCTTAAGTTTTATTGCTTATTATAGGAAGCCTTTAAAACTAAAAACCGTTCTGTTTGTAGTTAATGACAAACCGCTGTATAATGAAAAAGTAGTAAAAAAAAAAAAAGGATAATTTAAACAAAAATTGAAGGCATGAAACATTGTCTTAAAAATACAAATCAACCATTCCAGTGAGGTTTTATCCCACACAGCACACTTTATCCTAGAAACATGCTTAGGACGTCCTGTGGACGTCTTTAGAACGTCCCTTGGAGGTCTGTACTGTATGGGAAAAAGTAACATTCTTTTTCGAATGAGTTTCAGAACGCATCCTGCGTCTAATAGAAGAATTTACGTTTCAGTAATTCTCAGGATATACGTTTTCCTATTGGATGTGTGAAACGCACCGTTGTTGTGAAACACACCGAAAAAGTGTTGCGATTTTTTCGTGACTAGCCATACGTGAAGGTGCGATGAAAATGAGCGAGATGCATCAGAAAAGAGAGCGCTACGCGCGACGAGCTTCGTTTGACGCATGAACGGCCGTTAGTAATTGAGGTGATTGCGTGAGCGAAAATATCGGAGCATTTTTATTTCCTGTTTCGTGCGCCTTACCGACGCGCGCAAACTGCTACGCAGTTTTTCCGCCGCAATTTCTCCCGCGAGAGTAACAATGACGACGACGACGACGACAAAGCGCACTCGTTCGGAATGCGACCGCGCGAGCGATTGCGAGAGATTCCTTCGCGAGCGGCGAAACTAAGCAGCGTCGCGCGACCGACAATAGCTGTTAAGGGGATGCAAAAGTCGATGACGAACTTGATAAGTCGATAACGTAGAGGAGATCCTCAAAATCTAACCAAGATGCATTAAAATTTTTCGAACTTTTCGCATCCTTTTAGGATTCGATTATCGAAATTCGTTATACTTTAAAAAGGTGGGAGGGTGTTCTTTGAAAATTTTCCGATCGAAGCATCGAAACATTCGACACGTAGAAGCTGCGGAATTTTTGTACAAGATAAATATTTACGCTAACAGCTAGAGATGTCACAATTTTGTAATTTTTAATCGTTTTCGTCACATATTTAGCAACGCTTCATTTCCGTGCGTACTTTCATTGCATAAAATCATTTATAATTCTGTGCAACTAAGACGTAAGTTTTGCAGAAAAAATTAGTATTCTATCGGTAAAGTTTCCAAGTATAGCGTAAGAAAGAAGAAAAGTGTAACGGGAGCGCCGAGAGAGCCGGCGATGAAGGAAAAAAGTCGCGGGCTCACCTGTAGGAGATATGATCGTGCAGGACCTTGTTGTAACTGCCATTTTCGTCGTCGTAGCCGCCGTTTTGCGAGGACACTTCCTCGCCGTGGATTTTGTGGGCCGACAGGCCCAGATACCAGATCTCCGAGTACTTCTCGATCTCGGCGCGCTCGAATTCTGTCAGTCTGGAGCCGTAGTACTTCACCGCTTCCTGGGGTGTCATTGGCAGTCTCCCAGCTGTTTTATTTCCCCGCGAAATAACACGTGTGAGTTAAGTGCACTATTCTCGGGCCTACAGCGCGCTCGCGAAAGCACGCGTTACGCAAGTCTCCCCGACGACCTGCACTCGACCCGCGAATTATCTCGTACGTTGCGCACGTAGAATTTTTCGCGAGGATATCAACGCGTTCATCAACCGAAGAAGTACCATGATGTAGTCCGGCCCGGCTGGGATATACTTCGCAATGTCGAAAGTTTTCAAGTGAATATTGGGAAATTTAGAGAGCAAAGAGTGAACCTGTGCAAGCGGAAGTTTTTTTCCAAATATGGAATTTTTTTTTATTAAGATTTTTTCCATTTCTTTTTCATGGAATCTTCTGGATGGCTTTGAAACGCGCGCGGAAAAAAGATTCCCATACCGAATGCCTCTTTTCTACATAAATATGCATTGCTTTGGTGGTAATAAAATTTTAGGATAATTAAAAGGTTAATTAAAATCGATCGATTTGGTATTCGGGTTAGTGCGTCCTTCATGAATTTGTTCTCGACGTTTCGTGAATATTCCAGTTTCACTTATTCGGAGAGAGGAACGACCTAAGACTTTTTTCAGCTCGCTTCTTCGGATCACTAAATTCGTGGCACCAAATCGCGTGGGAACGAAATTAAGGTTAATCAAATTATATATAAATATCAGTAATAAAATATCCGTAATGAAAAATAATTCTAGTCAGAATTACAAAGCCAGATCAATAATTGAAATTTGCGGTTGACTTATAGATTTATATATTATTATATAGGTTTATTTGTGCAACGATTCTTTTGCAAATGATGGCAAGCAAGCAGTGTAACGCAACATCAATACTTTCGTTACAACTGCCCGTTATTCCAGAAGCGTGTCGATCTCACGTTTTTTCTACTATTTCCGTAGATATGAGTTCATAGTAACACAGCAGACCCCATTATGCTGTTCCACATCCTAAGCATAGTAATATTAAAAATTCCCAATTAGATACGTATTAGATACGTTAGTTTGAATATCTGTGTATAATGAATGCTACTTTGCAGAATTGTTGCCATTCGTCAAATTATCAACAGTCATGATGCACAAATAATGCCTTTGATTGGAAATTTTCGATGTTACCATGCCAAGGAAATAGGACAGCATTAATGGAATCTACTACATTATCTATCCTAATAGTCTATCTCTAACTACTAGTTACTACCCGAAATAAAATATTTTCTCACACTGACATTCGTAATGCTGAGCAATTCAAACCGGAGCCTCGAAAATACACGTATCAATACGGGACGCTTTTTTCACTTTCCTGATACTTCCTCATTATACGTGTGACAAATTTGTACACCAGCGGGTTACAAAATACATCTGCACTGAGAAAAAGATTTTTTCGAATTTAATAAATTTTATTGCCATCCAAACAAATTTCGTCATTGGCATGCTCCAAAGAAACTAATGTTTCGATCGATAAGTACGATTGTTAGACTCTTCAACGAATATGTATTTTTATCTTAAATAAAAAATTTGTTTGAAACGGAAAATAATTTTCTTACAAAGAAATTATTTGTTTCATTTTACATATTTATTATAACCAAATAATATTTCATTTGGTTAAAAGATATTATTTCAAACAATAGCGTTCTTTCTGTTAAATAATCAAGTTTTCTTGAATGAGACAATAATATTTTTTCAATAACACAACATATACGAAATATTATTCAAACGAATAATATTTCGTATATGTTGTTTCGACGGAACAAATTTTAGTCAAATAAATAGAAATGCCAAAGAAATCTAAGGAAACTTTTTTCTCTGCGTGATCAGATTATTTGCGTAACGCTGTCGTAAATTTTGGTTTCAGTAGGTAGTATATTCCAGCCGTGCGGTACAAGTTTGACAAATTACACCATCAGCATGGTATATTATTCGCCAGAAATGTTCCGTGTGCAATATTTTCGTTAATCCTGCCGCACGAAAACGCGTACCGGCTCGTTCACGGAGCGCCGAGAACCGTTCTTTACACCGAGGGATTTCAATAATATTTCTCACGTGCGTGTCGTAATCCTGCGTATTGCGCGTAAACCTCGCGTCACCTCATAGCCGCGACTTTATTCCTTCCTCGAGTGCACCGACGTAATCCTCTCGGCGTCTTAAATACACGTTTCGCTCGTATTAAATGATAGCGTCGAGTGGCGCGCGCTTTCAGGCCCCCCGTATAAGGGCAACGCGATTTTCCGCCGATTTTAATCACAGTGTGTGTGTGTTCCCCGTACCGTATACTTCGTGAGAAGTAGCGCTGAGGGGTTCGTGCAGCGGCATATTGTGAATATTGTTGCTCGTGTTGGAATTGTTGGCATTGTTGTTGTCCGTTTTATCCACTCCGCGCGCCGGCTTCGTGTTGAAGAAAGACGGCAACTTCTGCAACAGAGAAAGAGGGAGAAAAATGATCACTCGTTCACGCTCTTTGTTTGACGGAACACCCGTTCAAATAACGCACCTCGGACATTCACAACCGCCGACCTCGCCGAACGACCCGAGCTGAAAAACTCGCCGATTTACTCGCCCACTCTCGCGCTCGCGATGACTGTCGAGTTTTCGCGACGATATTTTACAATCAACGAGTTTCTCAAGGGAGCGGAGAGAGGCGGGGACGGCCAGCAGACTCGAGTAACATTACTCGCCATAACTCGGCCGCGAAGTGTCGGGCGTTAATGACGGGAGCAGCTGGACCGTTAATGTCGCGTCCGCGACAAAGTCGCCATGAGCGAGCGAGCGACGCGATTTCTCGCTGAAACCGAAATATAAAACCGATTGAATTACGCGAGCCCACGGTGACTTAATATTAGGGTGTCAAAGGAATACGAGAAAAATGAGTGTCGGATGAAATTTTCTCCGAACAAGGAACGGAGAAAATTCAGTGCGGATGATCTCACGAGGGACGTGCGCATCGGGCCGATGATTCGATACGCGTTTGATTTGCGTCGCTTCGTCGCAATTTCGGCGTCCCCATCGTGAGAGAAAATAACTACGCGATTATCCTTCGGTCTTCGAGTTTAAATCGCCCGAATCTCCTCTTTGTGCCGCCGAGTATCGAAACTCTTCTTTCTCTCTCTCTCTCTCTCTCTTTCTCATCGTGAAAGCGTTGCGGCGGTAATCTCTTAAAGAAAGTGGAACGTACGACGAGACGCGCGCATATCGGCGTCTATGTGCGTACGTGAACACGTGTGTGTGTGTGTGTGTCTCCTGTTTGCGAGTGCTGACCCCCGATTTAACAAGTTTAATGACACCGAAGTGACCCGGGGCAATTATTTCTGCGCTCCGGACGAAAGAAAGAGAGATCCGAGCGAGCGAGCCATTAGAACGTTTCGTCGTCGAAACGACGCCTTTCCGTGCAGCCTACCAAGGGCAGTCACCGGTCGTGAATGCACCTCGAATGACAATCGATCCCGGCGTTGTTGTTTCCAGCGCCGGTCTGTCACCGTCGTTCATTAGATTTCTTCGCGCGTCTTTCCGCCGTTGTTAATATTTATACCCCCCGGGCGTCGGCGATCGATTTCGGGCAGGTGCGACGCGACGCAACGGTGGCGGCAGGAAACGTTTATGGAAAAATATCCTCGAATATAAGTCGAACGGGAACGCGCCTAACGCGCGGAACGATGAATCTCCCGACTATCGGCGATACTTGTGGCGTCGTCTTCTGGCACAGAGAAGGTCAAGCACCTCGCGGACATCGGTATTCCAGAGGCGTCTGTCGCTCGCTCTATCGGAAACATAGAGCGCTTTATTTCCTCTTTTTTTCTTCTTCTTCGAACGACCCGCGCGTGACGACGCGGTAATAACGGATACGGCGGGTGCGTGTGTTTTTTTTTTGGGGGTATTGCATTTGCAAGTGAAAATACACGAAGGTGTATAACGCGCGAGGTGGAAACCGCCGGTGCGGCCTTTGAGCACCTTGAAAGCGGACACCTCGGTGAGCGAGGCGGGTGCCAAGCGCTCACCTCGGCCCAGATATAACACTGTTAACAGTATTAATGCGCGGCGTCATGGGAAAATATCGAAATAACGAATGCACGGTGCATGCGCGAATGTATGGAATACATTCTCGGTAAGGCCGCATATCGCTCCACTTGCGAAGTGACGGACGTTTCACCTTCGACGCGGGTAGAGGAAAAGCGCCGAGGCTGGCATAGGTGTGGTAAACCCGACCCGTGTTTCTCGGGCGGTGAATTACTGAACTCCGTCGAACAGTGCATGAACTTGGTCTGAAACTGGCAGTTTCTGTTTGCAGGGTTGCGTTGTCAGGGCGCCGTTCGATTTTTCTTCATCGAGCTTGAAGTTTCGTTGAGCGTCCTTCTAGCGAAAATTAAGGCCGACGCGAGTCGGCGGTGGAGTAATTTATTGGACAATGCTACTTTATAGAGCGAGTCTGGAAGTTTTCGAGTCGCCTCGCATCTCGTGCCAATCTCTATCCTCCCCCACTCCGAACTACGCTAGAGAAGTTAGGCTTTCGCTTATTCCGTATACTGCGAGATACCGGAGTTTATTTGTCCTTCGGCCGATACACCTCAAGTTTGCTGTGAAATATTACTTCGAAGGAGGACGGTTTTAGAGCCCGAAAACAAAATGGCACGTCAGGCTTTTCCTCGATACAGAATCGCGCGAGCCCACGCGTACGCGGGTTCTCAGGTATGTTTTATATCAGCGATCGCCGTGGCTTTATCAATCTCGAGCTCGCCACATAAATCTCCCCGCGCGAAAGCGCTCGATCCACGCGAGCGACGCGATGCGCTTTAACTCGCGGAGAACCGCGACGCGACTCGGCGCCAATTGATCAGGCTTGACGGCAATTAAGACCGGACAAATGTTGGCATAAATTTCTATTAAAGGGTCAACAGACGATTCGAATGAGCGCTCTTTCTCTCTCTCTCTCTCTCTCTCTTTATATCTGACGTCCTTGTCGTTTTATTGCTTTTGTACGTCTGCTTTTCGTGCACGTTCGCTCTCTCGATCGAGCGATGCTCCTTGACGATTTCGAGTCAGCTGTTCGATTCTCGTGTCGTGCGGGGCACCGATTAAATGGAATTCCACGACGACCGACGTAGCAGCGTCGTGCCTCCATCGTTGCCCATGTAAGAATTGCATATATTCGGCCCATGTAAGAATTGCATATATACACTGAAGATTAGCGAGGTGCCACTTTAGTACTGCATGAAATACGGATGTCACGTTGCGATACCAAAGCCCTGAACAGGAAAGCGAAAGACACCACTGATGCGGAGTCTAAATGGTTCAGCGGTAAGAACGGTTGCTTGGCAAGCGGAAGACCAGGTTGTTCAGTGCCGCCTCGCAGTGACATTAAAAGCGCACACGTGCGGATCTGAACGCAAGTATCACCTGGTCACATTCCGACGCTTCCTGCGTCACAGTATGGTTTATATCGACAACTGCACAGTAATAACAATCATCACTGGGAATCGGTACGTTTACGGTACCGCCTATCTCGAGTTTCGTCGCCCCGGCGATTCCCCACCAATCGACGAATCAGTATTGGCATCCGTTCATTAAAAATCGATACCGAGTCACGATACCTCGCCGGCGGTTAATTCCTGCTCGAGTGGAGACGACCTCGGTTGTAATTCCGCGCTGTGAATCCCGCGTGACGCCGAAATTCCGCGCGTCTCAGGGCGGAAAGCGCGGCTTTCTCGCCTGACCTAGCGTAATGAAAAATTATTATCGGCCAACGAGTCGTTCGCTTCTAAGGCCGCGCGGGGCGGGCGGTCGTCGCGATCGGCATAAATAAAAAGTCGCGAGTGAATAACCGCACAGCCGGCTCGTATAAATTGTAATCTCACACATTTACTATGCCCCTCGCGCGCTCACTCCTTCTTCGCTCTCTCTCTCTTTTTCTCCTTCTCCCGTAGCACGACCTTTCTCACTCACTCTCTCTCTCTCTCTTTCTCTCTCGCTCCTTGCTCGTCGACAACTCGGAGCGGCTCTTTCTGTTGCCAAGCGTCGGGCCGTACTTAACGCACGAATAAATAACACGCTCGAGACGCCGCCAAGACTCACGTAATGAATCCGGCCGAGCCAAGAAGCCGTTTGACCCTCGAAACGCCGAAAATCCGGCGGGGAGGAGGCGCAGGACCTTGGATGCCACAACGCAACATTGTTCCGTGTCGCGACGCGAAAATAGATCGCCGTCCCCGCAGGTTTTCTCAGGCCGAGTGCAGAACCAAGGGGTACCGATCGAGTCGAACGGCAAAGGGGGAAAAGGGAGGGAGAAACCGCGAGAAGAATTTCGCTGCGTGAAATTCTCTCAAGGACGCGGGAACGCGCGCGCGCTCGGCGTTTCAGCCGCCGCCGGTGGCTGTAATCCACGTACCGATTGCAGATAGGCATGCACAATAATTCCCCTACATCCCACTTGTGCATGCGGTTTGCCTTGTGACATCTCCGCGCGCGCGCCCGCCTTTCTAATACCGCGTGCGCCAACGCAGAGAACTGCCGAACGAGCGGCAGCAGCTGCAGCTGTGCAGTCCTCGCTGTACGGATTACGTATGCAGCGAGTACCTACGCGCGTACTCGACGTGGGACTCACGGGCCGGAGGCTCGTGGGCGTATCGGTATCTCGGAAGCACGCTTGGAAATCGTCAGCCGGTCTAAGCGGCGAATACCGGTGGTGGCTGCTCATTAACCTGCACCACCGTCGGCGAGCCGCGACGATCGCTGCGTAAATGCGACCGCAAGAGTCGCCAGCGACTCGAAAGCGACTTAAATGGACGCGTACGCTGAAGCGCGCTCGCTGGTTCACGAGTTACTTTTCACCGGGCGCGCGCGTGCTAATTGTAAGCCCCGTCCGACGACGCACACTTTCTCCCGGTCGTAGATTCGCGGTGCTCGCGGAGGAGACGAGCAGTTCTTCTTCGCGAGAACCGAGGACGGGCGTCGTCGGGGAGATTCTGGACTTCTCGACTGATCAGTCGAGAGTCGCGAGTTAGATGCGAGTTTTCCAGTTGAATCGCGATTACAAATGCGGATGTCGGATACACGAGGGAAAAGGTTCCTTTGGATTTAGATTCCGCGTTTCCTTGATTTGGGTTTGTTTGATGTAAACAATACGGTTTAACATCGGATGTCGCTTTGAATAAAAATGTCGTTGTCTTATCAGAATAAGCTAGTTGATAAAAAAGAAAAGGCAGGATTGCTTAGAAGAAATAGTATGTTGGTTTTCAACAGAAAGGATTTATTTCGTTATACATTAAATACGGTTCTATTAAAACAAAGAAGTTTAATATTTTTATAAACACAGTGTGCAACTTCTTTCAAATAATTTATCGTTTCTGACCAACCCTTGCAATAATTGAATGAAAATACACAGAAAAGAGTGTTATCTGAGGTAAAGATATTTATTGCTTGAA